ATTCTTCGATGTAGATTATTTTCTTTCTTTTTTTCTATAGCGCGCATCAAGCGGAATCACATGACAAAAATAGAAATGGAAGCCATTACAGTTGTATCGATTAAAATTTTATTTTGTTGCTGTCTTGCACTACAATTTTCAAATGTCGCGTAAGAATACTGAAGCACAAAATTCATCAAGGCCGAGATATATTACGAACAGTAGGGTTAATGCAACATCAGAAAAGAAAGAACGCAAAAAAACACAAGGGCAACAAAATACGAATAATGTTGGTCCTTCGTCTGAATCTGCTTCAAAAGCTATCCAACGCTTGCAAAATGCTCCTTTAGGAAAGAAGGAAGTGCTTCCGCCTATTCTTGCTGCCAAATATAACCGTGATGACGAATACAAGAATGCTGATAACAACGAACGCGATTTTGAAATCATCAAAGAAAGTTCGTTACCACTTAAACTATTCGATGGCAAAAAGCAATCGCTTACTGAACTCAGTGAAGAATCCTTGTCGTATTTATGGTTTAGACGAATGAAAGAGATCTTTTTGCATATGTGTGTTGGGAAAGAAGATGAAAATGATGATGATCCATTTGTTGAATTTGATATGAATTTAGCCAAAATAGATTTGATGAACACGTGTGATCGGTATATAGAAAACGAACGAGTGGCTCTTTCCAAAAAAGTAATATTTATCAATTAGGAGTTTTGAACAATTGCATCAGTATAAGAAGAATCTTGTGTTTTCGATGAGGTTTTAATTGCTGTTTTGGAAATTCATCAATATGATTTGTTCACCGTGCGGGTATCGAGTTTAGAAATCTGCGTCACAATCAAAATGAGTTATGATGGCTGCACAGTCAAGGAACTAATCCTATAGGATCTAGCCACCGGCAGCAGATAGTACATTTTAACCTCTAATACAGAAAACTAAACTACATAGAAGGCGATTCTCATCCATATCTAAGGTGCGAACCTATGGTCTCAACTTTGTTATCGCCCTCTGTACTTCAATTGTAAAGTAAACTAATTAATACCCATTTCAGAATAGAGAAGCGTGAATAGTTTTTGAATAACTTTTGATGGAAACAAGATACAGCTGCGGTGTTCACCGTTTGGAAGAGGCAATCGGACTACATCGAATCGGATATGTCAGATTTTTCTGACGAGTTTTAATAAGGTTCACCGCCAAGCTTTTTAAAAAATTGAAGCTTTTTAAACGTGGAAAAAATGGATTTTTGTGAAATAATAGAGAAAAACCCAATTTTGTTTATGAAAAATTGACCGAGGACACAGTGATAGGTCGATAACTCATGATTAACTGTAGACAATAACGTCGGGTTTACATAATTCCGTCCAATTCCTTATTTGAATTTCCGCAAGCTTGTATCATTTTCCGTTGATGGATATAGAGGAGGTATAAGGAGGTATAGGAGGTATAAGGAGGTATAAGAGGTATAGGAGATATAGCTAGGTATAGGAGGTATAAGGCGGTGTAGGAAGTATAGGAGATATTGATTAATTGGTACAGATGATCCTTCAATAGTACTTGAATTTAAACATCTATTAGTAAAATATATTGATGCCACTTGCCAACTGTTTCTCGAAAAAATCAATTTCTATACCTTCTATATCTCCGATACCTTCTATACCTCCCTATACCTCCTATAGCTGAGAATGCATCCTATTCAGTTTCGCTGTGTTGTATTAGTTTCCGGGAAACTCATTTTACTGCAAGGACATGTATAAGAGATTTCCGATAGCCATAATGGACATAATGGACATAGTGGCCATAATGGACATAATGGGCATAATGAGCACAATGGGCATAATCGGCATAATCAACGATCTTGTGAGATGCTCTGTGAGCCTTAGCCGCTGAGACTTCCTTTTTCAGTACGCATCTCGCGCGACGTTAAGTGAGTCCTTCTGGGTGAAACTCCTTTCTCCGCCCCCACACTTGGTGCGATGTAATGTCTGTCGTTTTTTAGAATTGAAGCACTTTGAATACATGTAACATCTTAGTACCTTTGATGATCATATCCAATTCGAAGACTATACCCACTATGCGCATTATGCCCATTATGCGCATTATGCCCATTATGTCCATGGATACCTTCAAGGGAAACTGAATGTCTATTCCGGAAACTGAAAAATTTCCGGAAATTCATCCCAGTGGAAAAAATAAAGGAGTTTCCTGGAAACTTATATAACGCATCATATGGCTATTCCGCGATGTTGAACATTGGGTTATCAGTTCCACCCCCGGAACCAATTCCGTCGAACTCCGGAAGCTCGATTATGGTTCCACAGAACAGGCGAATCGATATCGATCGAGTTCCGTCAATTTCCGGAATTCCGGAAATTGTGTTGAAATGGAATTCCTTCTGATTCCGGATTTCCAACTAATTCTGTCTCGACTCAATTCCCGGAATTCCACACCGCAATTACTTATCGCCCTCACCCATGATGCCGTAGTTGAACATTAATCCCTAGGATCAGTAAGCAATTCCAGGAATTGAGTCGAGACGGAATTAGAAGGAATTCCTTCTGATTCCGGAATTCCGAAAACTCTCTCTAATTCCGGAATTACTCAGTATTGCTAGGAACTACCAGGAATTCCATGTAATTTCGTCTCGACTCAATTCCAGGAATTCCACACCGGAATTACTTCTCGCCCTCACCCGAATGCATGGTGATGTGGTTGAAGATGAATTCCTATGATAAGAAAGTAATTTCAGTACGGAATTCCGGGAATTGAGTCGAGACGAAATTAGAAGGAATTCCGGAAATTGAGTCGAGAAGGAACTAGAAGAAATTCCTTCTGATTCTGGAATTCCGCGAACTTCTTCCAATTCCGAGATTCCTAGGAATTTCTGGGAATTCTTTCTAATTCCCGAATTCCGGGAACTTCTTCTAGTTCCGGAGTTGCTCGAAATTCCTAGGAATTCCGGGTAATTCCGTCTCCACTCAATTCCCGAAATTCCACACCGGAATTACTTCTCGCCCTCACCCTCACCCACGGTGGTATGGTTGAAGGTGAATGCCTAGGATAAGTAAGTAATTCGGACACGGAATTTCGGGAATTGAGTCGAGACGGAATTACTAGGAATTCCAGGGAAATCCTTCTGATTCCGAAATTCCGGAACTTCGAGTACTATTCCAATTCCGGAATTGGAAGGAATTTCTGAGGATTGCGAGTAATTCCCTGTGAACTCAGCTCCGAGCATTCGGGAAATTGGTGGAAGTCGATCGATGTGCAATAGGTCTGTTATGCTGAGTGATGAGCGAGTTCCCGTAATTAGATGGAACTGATTCCGGTGGCGGAATAGGATGACTGCTCCTATAGCTCCTATACTTCCTTATACCCTCTGTACCTTGATAAACAGGAAGCTATAGGGATGTCCAGAAATTCAAATGAATTTTCTGGAAATTCAAATAAGGCATCTAATCCATGATTGATAGATCTTTAGTTTAGGATTCTGTTGCAGTCATGAAAATTAAAAACTCAAAATTGTTACATTACGTAACACCTTGTTTTTTGGAAATTTGCCAGAAAATATTGGAAAAACTTGTCAAAAAATCTGGCATACAAGATTTGATCCAGCTTCATCGCATCTTTCAAACGGTGAAAACCGCAGCTTTCTATGTAATTTCTATCAAAAATTATTCAAAAAATACTCACACTTTTTCTTTTTTGAAATAGGTATTAGATACCGAGATTTATTACAAAGTGCAATAAATTAGGGGTGGATTTAGAGGCGGACAGTGGGAGATCATTCCTATTCCAAAAAAAAAATTTCGTTTTTTTCCAGTTGAAAAGTTGAAAAAATGAGTTTCGTAGCACGTTTGATGGTTAGGATTGCTTCCCATCCGCAGAGAATACACCCATATTTCCTTGGAAATACCTCCATATTCAGGAATGTCGCGAACGGAAAAAATGCGGCAAGGGTGAAGTGGGCGACGATTTTATCGGAAATTTTCTAAAATTTTCATAAAAGTTTTTGAAATTTTCAATAAATTTTGAATATTTTTTAAAAATTCTTCCAAAAATGTTCAAAAATCATCGAGCAAAAAGGGCGAAATTTCAACAGGTTATGGAAGGAAGCGTGTCGCCCCCGCGCCTCTCTCTGCTTGTGACAACCTTGTCCATATTCATAGAATCGCCCAATATCAAAAAAATCCTACATCTTTTGGTGCAATAAATTGCTACAAAAATTAGATGTAGCAACTAGCATTAGACCATCTTCGACCATAGCCAATAGGAGTAATGACTGACGATGCCATTTGCAAGAAATTGTTGTTATGTAGTCAGAAATTTCTAATCGCATTTATTTTCCTGAAGAATTAATTGAAACGTCTTGCCATGTAGGAAATCGGTACTAAAACAATCGCGAAGAAGGGTTCAGACATTGGCTCATTACGGAATATACAAGATTGCATTAAAGCACTCAACGATCTAATCGAGGATTCGTCATCACTTAACTTGCCGTCATTATTGAATAAATGTATTGAAGTATTACAGAAATTTGATCAAAATACCCAGAATATTATTGAAAAACTTACAAAGTTGGAAAAAAATAGTTCGGAAATTGATGCTCGTTCGATCCTAGAACTTCTTCAATCTTTACAAATGACAGAAGAAAAGAAAGAAAAGAGCAATTTAGAGAAAAAACAAGAATGGGATATGAAGAAACTCTATGCCGAAGTATTTAAAATGTCCTACAAAAGAAATCGACTGAGAACGGAAGCCGAACAGGTAATTAGACCATGATATGTTGAATTTTGTTTTCATATTATTAGTTTGGTTTTGTGACCATGATTAGGATGAATTAAGACCAATAAAGAAGGGTGATGACCAGCCAAACTTTGGTAATGCTATTTGGTGGTATTCGTGTGATAAGGCGAACATATATTATCAAATTAATTCGATAATACGTCTGGAAAATTTTGAATTGCTGATGGTGTATCGGTATTATTTGAGTGACCTTTGCCGAATGATAGAATTCATGTATCAGAAAAAAAAATCCGACGAAGGTGATATTGCACGAACATTCTATCGAGCAGGTGGCATTAATGAAAAGAAGCTGGAGAAAATGAAGAAAAAACAGAAAAGTCAATTCATATCGTTGCTCGGCTTTATTTCAACAACAACTAATATTGAAATTGCTAAAGGCTATGCTCGAAAGCAACAGATCTCTAAAGGTAGCACAAGAGTTTTGTTTGAAATCAGTATCAAACCCAAAGAACCATGTACAGCATTTGCATACATCGACGGTATATCATTTCATCCGGAAGAAGAAGAAGTACTATTTAGTATGGGTTCCGCGTTTGTTGTCGATGACATTGTTGATCCCCCAGACGGCGAAAATTTTCACACAATCAAACTGATAGCATCCGAAATCGATAAGACGCTTATCGACGATATCCGAACTAAAGTTGAAGATTGTTCACCGTCCGGTCGTGCCGTTTTGCTAGCTCAGTGTCTTATCGAATTGGGCGAATATCGAGCAGCTCGCAAATATCTCAATTCACTTCTAACTCAATCATATGACGGAGGCATATTGATGAATGATCCGAATCTCGCTACTATTCACAGTTGTTTAGGCACGACATACGCTCGGCAAGGTCTTCATGGTGATGCACTCAAAGCATACAAACAAGCACTAAACGCTCAAGCGCGCCTTGAATATTCAAATAACAACGCGCTCTCGAATATTCACAATAACATCGGATTGGCCTACGTCGGCTTGGGTCATTTAGACGAAGCCGAGAAGACATTAGAGAAAGCAGTACGTATTCAACAACGAGAACTTAATTCAAATCAACAACATCTTGCATCAATTTATGGCAACATAGGTTATGTTCATTACAAAAAAAGAAATTATAATAATGCGTTAGAGGCATTTGGTAAAGCTGAAAAGATCTACAAGCAAAGTTCAAGCAAAATTGCACATGATGAACTGGAACAGTCTTTAATGAAAGCTGAATATTTGACAAATTATGGACATTTACTTAGCACTTGCAAACCTTTAGCAGATGCACAAGACCGTTACAGCGATGCACTCAAGCTTTACAAAAGTATTCTGCCTGATGGTGATCCTAAACTAATGCAAACTCATATCAATATAATGCTTGCATATGCGCGAAATGGGAATTTTAAAGAAGTTACTAACTGGTTTGAAGATTCAACAGTGCAAAAACTTATTGAGAAACAAGAAATTAACATGTTTGAATTGAACAGTTCGGTAACACAAGCAGATCTCGCCTTTCTACATAAATTAGTCGGTGCTTGTTATGCCATGCAAAGTTCATTCGGGCAAGCTATTCATTTGTGGACGCGTACAATAGTATTTAAACGTAAAGCACGACTGGAACAATTGTTGTTTGAGACTACAAATGACAACTCTTCAACACTAATCGTCGAACACAAAAGTCTCATAGACAAGGGTTACCATCAGATGCACGAACACTTAACGAGATCAACTAAGTAAATAAACATTTTTTAAAGAGTTTCTTTATGTTAACTGTCTATTATAGTATGACGATTGACGCAAAGGATAGCACAAACATAAAACTATCTAATGATTTTTGTTTGGGTCTTCTGAATGCCTTATCTCATAAGTATGTCAAATCAATAGAATTTCTGACGAAAGTTAGTGCAAGTCTAAGTCAAGATAATGATGAGATCTTACTTGTTACATATCTACTATTGGCCGACATGTTCAAAAATCAACGTGAATTTCGAAGAGCTATCGTCAATTTGGATTTGGCATTGAAACAAATAAGATCAATCAAATCTCAGAAAGATCGTGTACTAGAGATCGAAGTACAACTAAGTCGTATTGACTGTCTTTCTAAAACCGATCAAAACGGTACTGAAATTAGGGAATTGCAAATGCTCGGAAGATCCTTGAAAATGAATGACACTGACACACAACGTATAAGTCTTAGTGTAATAGTTTACGATACGTTGAGTCGATACTGTCTAAGAAAAAAAGAATACGAATTATTTGATCGCATTGCTGAGGAATCGATCTCAATGAAACTTCGCAATTTCTCACAATATCATCCTAGTTTAGCGATCAATTTTAAATTGATAGCACAACGTCATATTGATCAATATCAGTACCGTGAAGCATTGGATTTTTATAAACATGCGCTCGAGGTACAAACTTTGAATTTAACTAGTGATCATCCTGGAATTAAAAAGATTTGCTATGCCATAGGTGATATTTATTGTAAATTGGATAAATTGTCAAACGCAATGGAAAAATACGATGTAGCTGAAAACAACAGCTCAAATGAAGATTCAGAAAACGTTGCTCAGCAAGAGAAAATGAATTCAGAAGACTCAATAGAAATATTCATTGCTCGAATCAGTATGCATCGACACTTAGCCGAACTTTATGGAAAAAAACAAGCCTATGAAGAAGCTATTTCAGAAATGGATAAAAGTATTAATTTACTTAAAGAAGAATTGCCATCATCAACATTTGAGGTGAGCGATGAAACGATACTGATACAAAAGCATATGGATGAATCGATGTTTATTATTAGTCTGCAACAACTTGCCAAGTGTTATTTGCATTTAGGTGATATTCTAGGTTCTGCACAAGATGATCAATGTGGCTATATAGGAGCTCTCAATATCTACAAGAAACTCTTCGAATATGATAAAGAATTAGCAAAAGATAAACTTGTTTTGATATTCAACAAGCTAAGCCGTTATTTCGAGGATACCGAAGAGGATGAGGATGCTCTAGAATACTTACAAGCAACTGTGGAGTTAGAGCAACCAACAATCGCCACTCTGTATCGATTGGGAAATTTGAATGTTGCTTGTGAAGAATTAGATGAAGCTATGAAAAACTACAAGGATATATTATCACATGGGTCTATCAGTAAACAAAAGCAACTAAAACAAATTATACAGAAGAAACTTGATAAAGTTAAAGAAGCTAAAAAATCACAAAGACGTAATTCAACAAGTTCTATCGAGTCTGATGAACGTTCGTCTAATGGCATCGTGTCTAATTCTCCTAATAAACTTAGCAGAAGTACAACTATTGTATCGGCAATTTCTCATCGTCAAAGTGAAGTTGATCCGGACTTAAATGCAAACAATAAAGGTCAGTCAAAGTCTGCTATCATTCTCCGATTCGAAAAAGATTTTGAATTTTAGCATGCGTAGATGATTTCTCCGATTATCGAAACATGGCTGCCGCTTATCGAGTGCTTGGTGATTTTAATATGTCAATAAAATACTATGAAAAAGATATTGAAAGATGTCGTAAGAATATAGAAGATCCAAACATGTTTGAAACGCAACTGGAAAAAATCGAAGAAGCCAAATATAAGTATGAACAACAGAATACATTGTTCATTTGGTCTAAAATATTTCATTCTTTGGTCAATCAAATCCGAAATACGACTAATTTTGAAGATTCAAACATCTTAGAATTAGCTAACTCGTTCTTTCAATGTGCTCAACTTTATGAAGAATCTTCATCTTATCTCGAAAGTATTGTTGATTACATTTCAGCTTTCGGTTTATATGCCTCGAAATCTTTAACTGAAATCCAAGTATTAATCTATGATATGATAAATAAAATAAATTCTTTCATAGAATGTCGTCTCAAAATATCAGAAATTCTTGAAGTCTGTCAGCCAGTGTTACCATCACATGATTTTATTCGAATACAATTGAATATAGCAGCTATGTATCGTGATAATAATATAGATGATGTTGAAGATGTAGATGGTGATTCTGACACAAGCAATGAATCAAGAATGATTGCATTTAACTTATATAAGAAATTGTTAGAAACTAATGATGGTGATGTGCTCACAAAAGGTGTATGTTATTATAATATCTTATGTCTTTACAAGAATTTCATTTATGAAGACGAGGTTGGTGAAAACATCATCAAGGGTATGTTCACTATGCTACCAAAGTTTACCAAGTATGATTGTCGCTTACTAATTTCATTGGCGCGTCATTTTTTACATGAGTATGACACTAATCGCGATAGATGTGATATGAAAATCAATCGGGAATTGCAAAAATTTGCAAAGGATGGCTTTGCAGAAAAAGAAATAAAAAACGATGAACCTTGCATTGGACATCTTCTTATTGAATGTAATGATCTGAACAGTGCGAAAGACTATTGGAGTTCCATCGCCGAGCAGCTTGAGTCTGATATATCAAGTCATGTTCTTGCAAATGTTAATGATTCTGATTCAACATTCGATCAAATTCTTCATACTATAAAACAGCCAGAAGAGAGTACTAGTTTACTTCTCAATCAGTTGACTAACATTTATGAAACAACAGGTGATTATCTCATGCTTTATGCCACAAATGATCAAACAAAAGACACAAAACTCTGTCTTGATGCTCACAATATGTTCAAAAACGCGTTGAATTTATTGAAACGGACTCAATCTGACAAGAACATGATTATGCGTGTCCAAACTAAGCTAGAAAAAACGGAGTCACTAGCCAAGAGCGCAACAAAATCTGCCTAAGAATAGCATTCACTGATTGTCAAAACTAATACTTAAACAACATTTTTCTAACATAATATTAAAAAATAAAAACAATGGTCTTTTTTCTCCTTTTATTGTTCGCTGTTTGAAAAGGATGTGTATGCCGGTGCGGGTACGTACTGAAAAAAATCCACAGAGTAATAAGCGGAAAAAACGTTTTTGATAAGGTATTAAACAAAAAAGGATTTATGACTTTGCAACAAGAGGGTGTGGGTGCGGGGTGTGAGTGTGGGGGCTGGCCTACTCTTCACGCACACCCACACCTACACCCACACCCACACCCACACCCACACCCACACCCACACCCACACCCACACCCTAGCTATAGCTTTTTTAAATAGCTATATACTTAATTAAAAAGTATCTCTTTTGAGAAGCTGCGATACAAAACAAACTAGACTGCTATTCAGCGCTGCGCGCTGGATGCAATGTCGGCTGACTGCAGACTAGATGTTTAATTCTTTTAAATTGATAGCTCATTGCTTGGTAGCCATTCGAAAATTTTTCTCCGACGTTCGAGACCTCATGATGGATGATTTTAAATCGCAGAAGGCGACAATTAATTAAAATATACATGCATTTAATGCCTTACATATAAATGGTTGGTTTAACATTGAATCATTCATCATCATATAAAGGAGCTATCAGCTGTTAATTATCGTTTTTCTCTATGTTTATTGCAATCGCTTGGTCGCCATTCGAAAAAATTCTCTACAAGTTTCAGACTTTATCATGAACGATTTTAAGTTGCACAAGGCGATAATTAATTAAAATATGTATGCACTTACCATCCTAGATGTGAATGGTCATCTAAGATTGAATCATGCATATCCTTATAAGGAAACTATCAGCTGTTAATTATTCATTTTCGGCATTTCTACATCTCCCGAACGCCACTGAATTTCGAAAAACGGATTTCAGATGTGCATTCGTCGCGTTCTCAGGATCTCGCCAAACTTTTTTCGATTAAAAATGATAGTCAGGAGCTGAGAACGAGTGGCTGACTCGAATCGTGACTCATGTGTTGAGAAGAAGAAGAAGAAGAAGAAGAATTTGTCATGGCAACTAAGCGAGTGAAAAGCAATAAGTCGGCTCTGCCTGCACTTCGTGCAGTCAGCCAACTTAATGAGAATTTTGTCGAGCAATTATTAAGTCGGCTGACTGCACGAAGTGCAGTCAAAGCCGACTTATTGCTTTTCACTCGCTTAGTTGCCATGGCAAATTCTTCTTCGTCTTCTCAACACATGAGTCACGATTCAAGTCAGCCACTCGTTCTCAGCTCCTGAGTATCATTTTTAGTCGGAAAAAGCTTGCCGAGATCCTGAGAATGTGACGAGTGCACATCTGAAATCCGTTTTTCGAAATTCTGCAGCGTTCGGGAGATGTAAATGATGCCAAAAATGATAATGAACAGCTGTTAATTTCCTTATATGGTTATACATGACTCACTCTTAAAACACCATTCATTTAACAGATCTTATGTGCATATATACTTTAATTATCGTTTTGCATAGCTGAGATTCATCCACGAAGAAGTCTCAAGCATTTAAAAAAATCTCTTCATGGTTTAGACAGATGAGACGATCAGCGATAATGAACAGCTGAGAGCTTCCTTATATGGAAACCTACGATTCAGATTCATTATGATTTCCTCTACACAACTCTTGGGTATAGAAATAGTAGATGTCGTATAGGACCAGGTTTTGATATTTTTCGGGCTCTGCAGTCAGCCGACTTTTCTAACCTGCCTTGGGCCGGGTAGAGGTCTAGTTTCCATTTCTAAACAGAATTGTTTGTGTTTAAATGTTCCAATCATCAATTTGTTTCACTTTTTTCCGATTTTCATTATTTTCAAATAAATAATAAAAAAATATTAATTAAATTTTTTGTTCAAAAAAGATTACTAATCTTTCGATTTTCTAAAGTTTCTTACTTAGTATCGAACATATCTTCACTAGTTTTAACGGAGATTTGGCTCGAAAGAAACTTTTGCATTGTTTATCTCACCAAGTTTAGAGATATACACGTGTCTCACTAAGTAGAAGCTGTACTTGGTGTATACACACCCCTAATCTACGTGAGAAGTTTGTTTTACGAAAAAATGCCGAAGCTAAAAAGAAGATCTATATCTCAAAGAAATGTCGAGATGACAAAGACTATGAGAGAAAGAAGAGCTAATGATGAATTTCGTTTGATGGACAATAGAAGACGAGCAAAATCTCAAAAAATTGCATGACAAAATAATGATTTTAAAACTGAAGAAAACAAAAAAAGAGCAGAAGCTCTTAAAATTAATCGTGAAGAGGAAGAATACAAAGAGGAAGAAAGAAGAAGAAATTCATTGAGAATGCAAAATAATAGAGACAAATACAAAAATAACTTTGATGGTATGAAATCAAATTATGAGTTAAAAATAAAAGAAGGACCTACTCATATTTGTAGCTGTTGTGGTGGTTTATGGTTTGAGTATTCAATCAGAAAATTTACAGTTGAGATGTTAACAAATAAAGGATTAAAAAAAGAATTTATCGATACAGTTTGTTATCTCAAAAATACAATCATCAAATTGTGTGTATAATGCAGAAAGGACATCATGTTGAATCAAGTACCTAATCTCTGTCTATCTAATGGTTTAGCATTCTATGAAATACCGGATTGTTTAAAAATCTTAACTGAATTAGAAGAAAGATTAATATCACCAAGAATTCCTTTTATGGTAATTCGAAGTTTAGGTTATTCTTAACAATTTGGTCTCAAAGGTAACCTTGTAAATGTTCCGATGAATGTTGACACAAACGTTTCAATCTTACCCAGAACTTTTAGTGATACTCAAACAATTCAGTTACAGCTCATGAGACAAATGAAAAATAAAAATGCGTTTATGTACGAAACAATTCGACCAAAAGTAGTACATACAGCTGTTAAATATCTTGTTGAACAAGAACTTTATAAAGATGAAGGGATTGTTATATCTAATGATTGGCTAAATCAGCACTTCAGTGAAAGAGAAAATTTTATTGTTAATGATGAAGATAAAAAAATTAATGAGAATGAAAACACAAAAGGTTCTGACGGTGATGATAACTGGAATGAGTGCGACGACGAGCCAATCAATCCAGGAGCTACTGAAACATTATTAAATGATGAAATTGCTGATCAAAATGATACCAGTATTAAATTTGCTCCAGCCAAGAATAACAGACCGATATCTATTTTGATGGGCTTGAAAGTTGACGAGTTGACATTTCCGAAAATTTATTGTGGAAAACAACGAAAAATTAAAGAGAATACTAAATTAACTTATGCTAAAATTGCTAAGTCAGAGCTGCGAATGTTTGATAGAAGATGTGGTAGAGTATCGAAACTATTTTTTACATATAAGAAATTCCAAACCAGAAAGTTTTGTGACGCTATTTCAATAAATTTAAGAAAAACAAAAAGTACGAACAATGTAACAGTTGCACAAATGCTCAATCGAGATTATGTGAATGGTCTAAGACACAATAATGATGCTTTTGCATTCTTGAGATGTGATCGATCTTCACCAGCATTCTGGAAACTAAAAAAAAGAAGTTATGGCAATGATTAGGCAATTAGGATGTGCAACCATTTTTCTAACATTATCGGCAGCAGAGACAAAATGGTCAGAACTAATTGTAATATTGACTCAAGTGTTGGAAAATAAAGTAATAACATTAGAGGAAGCAGAAAACATGAGCTATGAAAAGAAATGTGATTTGATAAGAAATGATCCTGTAACATGCGTTCGTTATTTTGAACATAGATTAAAATGTTAATGGGAAATATTATCGGCTCCTTATGGTCCATTTCAAGGCTATGAATTAGAAGATAAATATGTCAGAGTTGAATTCCAAGTCCGTGGCTCGCCACATATTCATGCTCTATTATGGTTAAAAAATGCTCCGAAATACGAGAAAGATAAACCTGAATCAATTGAAAGATGTACAGAATTTGTTGATAAACTGATTTCGGTTAATTGTAAGCCAACGGAATTTTCCAAAGAACTTACCAATTTGCAGCGTCATAAGCACTCACATACCTGTAAAAAACATGTGAAAGATTGCATTAAATGTCATTTTGGTGTTCCATATTTTCCGATGAGAAAAACGATGATTTTAGAACCACTTAGTGATGATGAAAAGTTAACTAAAAACGAACGTGAAGAGATAAGCAAAAATAGACAGAACGTAATTAAAGAACTTGACAAAATATCAAAAGATACAGATAATTCATTAACGTTTGATGAATTCTTGAAACATACCGATATGAACGAAGAAGAGTATATTAAAATGATTCGAGTCGAATTAAAAAAAGCAAAGATATTCTTGAAACGTGCTCCAAATGAAATCAGAATCAATGCATACAATCCAATGATAATGTCATTGCACAAAGCAAATATGGACATTCAGTTCATTCTTGATCCTTATGCGTGCTTAATGTACTGTGTTGATTACATCAGCACATCTGAAAATGGAATGTCTAAACTTTTAAGAGAAGCATTGAATGAGCTAAAAAAGGGCAATAACACAGTCAAAGAACGTCTTAGAGTCATTGCAAATAAGTTTTTGAATTCCAGTGAAATTTCAGCACAAGAAGCTGTTTATCATATATTAAGTATTCCGCTTTCAATCAGCAGTAGAAGCAAGGGGGAAAAAGCGGATCCTGGTGGATCCTGTGGATCCTGGTGGATCCTAGTGGATCCTGGTGGATCCTGATGGATCCTAGTGGATCCTGGTGGATCCTGATGGATCCTGATGGATCCTAATGGATCCTAGTGGATCCTGACGGAACCTGATGAATTGTAGAATAAATTATTTCAAGCGTACAGAAACGAGGATGGAAAAGTTGATCTTAATGGATATGAGAATTCTTTAAGGTCCAAATAAATTAAGTGAGAAAAGGGAATAGTGACTTCAGAATTTGTAACTAAGTAAAGAGAAAAAAAGATCCAGGATACCGAGATGATTATGTCATGGTAAATTTTGGCATATCATCATGGATTCTGCGTATTTTTTGGATCGATCAAGATTTACGCTTCCTCGATCGGTTTGATATTATTGTAATACATGATGATTTCTATTGCATTCTAGTTATCTCTAATAAATTGTAATGGATTGTGTTGAATTATAGCCAATGGCGGTAATCTGTGACCGCTTTTGGTACACTTCTAGAAATATATTCTAAAATCTTTTAGGACTCTAGAATCCGCTTTTCTCCGTCAAACTAAGGATGTCAGAACTTAGAGTAACCCTTTACTTTATTCTTAATCCTGTTTTTCCTTGAGAAAGTGTGAAAGAACATTTTGGGCTCCTGAATCTGAAGATTCATGTCATATTTTATTCAGGATTCCGTTTCCAATTTTAATAGTACTGGTTTGCAGGATATTTCATTGTGAAAAAAATATTCTTCTCAGGATCTTTTCAAGTTCCCACTCAGATTTCTTTATTATTTTAACATGATAGCCCATACTAGGATTCACTCTTGATCTTACTCAAAACCTTGATAGGGATTACAGAAAGAATATCGCTTAGATTCTATTATAGTTTTAACAGAATTCGTTTGGGATCTCTGCATCATGGTCCTCTCCTGGCTTACAGTTAAATAAGGCAAAGATCCTACAAGGAATTAATAGAAGAGCAATGAAAATCCTCAGGTAGTGGATTCTTCTAAGATTCAATCACGATTCTATCTAATTTTCTTAAGCATTCTTCTTACGAATATCTTTTCTGAACATTTCCAGGGTTGTCTTAGGGTCTCTTCAAGGACAAGCATTTCGGATCCTTCCTAGAGAAGGTCAAAGATGGCCAGGATCTTTCTGAAAGCATATCAAGGTTAGACGAAGATCGTTACCATTTTCATTTAGAGTCTACTAAAGCTTGATCTTGAGGATTGTAACAAGATCTATGACTGATCTGGTTCAGGATTTTGAATAAAATTATGAAATGTTTCCACCAAAATCCTTAACAGTTCCTATTTAAGATTCTTCGAATATTTTTGAATCTTTGAATCTCAAAAACTCAAATTGTGCTTGTTAAATAAAATTTTAACAGTAACTATACTAAAATGACAATGAAGAATTTGCAATGTGTTTTGTTCCGGTTCTGACAGGAATGTAGAAGATCAAGAAGGTACCTGAATTTCATTCTATTATTCGTTTGTTTCTATGTGTCAGTGAATGGAAGAATTCTTACAGAATTTTTGAAGATTTCTCGTCAAAGATTTTTAATATTTATCTTCAATATTGCATGACATTTACAGCATGGAACTCAGTTATTTTTTGAATTTTATTTTCATATAAAACTTGCAAACTCATTAAAATGGAGATTTTAATATCAGTTTAACTATTGCACTAACTTTTTCTTAAAAAAGCTTTTAGTAAAGGACGAGTACTTCAATAAAACTTGTACTGGATTTTATTTATTCGTGCTAATCAGAAAAATACCTTTTTATTCAAATTGAAATCAACCAGTCATAGTAGAATTTTATGATAAGTAATCAATAGATTAAGTTTATATTGAATTTTTGTTCAAATAACTTATGTTTGCATAAAGTTCAAATACAAGTTAATAGTTCAGAGGGGATTCGAGATACAGAAGGTTTGAGTTAAATTAAATAGCATGGTACAGTCTACTGCGGTGAACTAATCAGTTTTTTAACTGAACATATAGAAATCAATAATGTGCGTTCATTTCTCTTTTCTGCTTAGAGAATCCTGCAAAAATTTTGACAATACATCGGATATCATCCTTACAGAATCGAAGTGGAGTTCTGCAAGGTGCAATCAGAAAATATTTTCCAATTAGAAGCCATTGAAATTCTGAGAAGAGCTTGACATAAAGTCAATACAAAATGACTCAGAATTTCTCTAAGATTTTGTTCTAATCATAACAGAATCGTGTTTATTTCGTGCCTACACGTTTTTCTGAGGATTTGACCCTCTATTAACATATTTCTTGTTTTAATTGCATTGGTAAACTGCTCAGGATACTGATAGAATCCTGTTATGAACCTTGTCGAGGTCTTGAAATTCCGCGGCTACACGACTTTCTCAAGATTTAGCAGCTTCTTCGACGATATATGATTGGGAAATAGCAATAAACTGTTACGATCTTGATTGAAGCTCAATTAAAATTCTGTCGGCATCTTAAAATTTCATGGGTACACACTTTTTTCCGTTTTTCGCATTTTCCCCGGAAAAAATGGTGAACCTGTGCAGCGCCGTTGCTGCCTATGTCAGAAATCTAGCTCAAAAAGACTTGAGCTTTTCTCTAGCAAAACTTCAACACTATCTAGTACAATCCTTTGATGTCCAGAAGAATTCAGCAGAAATTAACAAGCATCATAATAAACTGAAACCAATCAGGAACACCTAAATCTTGCTGGATCTTATTCTATCGTATAAACCGCAGAACTCATTCAGATACTCAAAAGTTCATCGGGGCCCACCAGCTCTCAATCTCCGAAATTTCTTTTTTCTTTGTTTTCAAAAACACCCACACCCAATTCTTCGTCTGTTTACTTTGTTTCCATGTATTCTAATGGCTTCGGATGGAGTCCAATAGATCGTGGGATGTCTCAAGGTCCGTTTTTCCTTTGTAAAGTAGACTAGTCATAGTTGTATAAATAGCACATGGTGCTCCCATTGATTCATTCAGAACATATTTTGAATTATGCATCCTTATTTTATGAATCTGATTGATTTACTTGCTTTTGTGGCTATTCAGAACATTAATCTATCTTCATAAATGATAATGAGTTCTAATGGATCCTAGTGGATCATAGTGGATCATAGTGGATCATAGTGGATCCTGATGGATCCTAGTGGATCCTGATGGATCCTAGTGGATCCTAGTGGATCCTGATGGATCCTAGTGGATCCTGGTGGATCCTATGGATCCTGGCGGATCCTAATGGATCCCAGGATCCACCAGGATCCGCTTTTTCCCCCTTGAGTAGAAGCACTGTATTCATCAATACCAATAGGCCTGAAAATAGAATTTCTATGCTCAAATCAGACGAAATTCTTGAAAAATTGGAGCCTGATTCAAAAGATGTTTTTGTTGAAGGCTTGATTGACATGTATATCAATCGACCTGATGAAATGAAAAATGTCTGTTTAGCTGATTTTGCATCGTTATATAATATATCTAAGAAAAAAAAACAGGCTATACTGAAATTATAGAAAATTCTGATGATGAAGATATCGTCGACGATGAAATCGATGAGAAGAATACTGCTTTGAAGACGAAAAATGGAAAAGGTTGGATAAAAAAAGAGAACAAAGAAAAAAATAATAAGATATAGAAATTTTAAGTTACACCAGGATCCTGAAAATTATTACAGAGAGCAGCTGATGCTATTTCTGCCATGGAGTGATGAAGAAAAGGACCTTATTAATATAAATCATGAAGAGATATTTGAATTACATAAAGATTTGATTCGACAGAAAAGATCTGAATATGTTCATCGTGAAGCCAATGAATTTGAGCAAGCTTTTGAAGAGCATATGGAAAGAGAAATTGAAAATAATATCGATGATATAAATGTTGAATATGATCAAGATAAGAATGAAATTCTCATTTATGAAATAGAAAATAATGAAGACGATATCTTTGTTAAAATGGGACTCAATACTCGAACTGAAAAAGTTGAACATTTTAATGTTCCTAAAATAATACCAGATACTGAATATCAGGAAATGATGAGAAATCTCAATAATAATCAAAGAAGATATACTTTCAATATGATGAATTTGGTAAAAAATGGTGATAAGCAATTTTTTCATTTCATCAATGGAGGTGCAGGTGTTGGCAAAAGTACTTTGATCAAAGCAGTATATCAGTCGATACTGAAATTTTATAATTCTCTTCCTGGATCTAATCCAGAAACTATTCGTACTGCAATCTGTGCGCCAACTGGCAAAGCAGCAGCACTAATTGATGGAATGACGTTGCATTCATTTTTAAGTTTACCAGTAAATCAATGCAAACATAAGCTTGTTCAACTAAATAGCGATGTTTCGAATAGAATTGGAGTCAAATTAAAAGACTTACAATCATTAATAATAGACAAAATATCAATGGTTGGTTTTACAATGTTTCAACAAGTCGATGCACGTTTGCAGCAAATAATGAGAACAAAGAAACCATTTGGTGGAATACCAGTCATAGTTTTAGGCGATTTCAATCAATTAAGACCAGTTGGTGATAAATACATATTTCAGTTTAATAATTCATATAATGCTTTAGTAGATAGTCCATTATGGTCATTATTTGAATTGTTTGAATTAACAGAAATTATGAGACAAAAGGATGATAAGACTTTTGCCATTGCATTAAGTAATATAGCTAAAGGAACAATGACAGATGAAGATATTAATTTATTAGAGTCACGAATTGTTTCAACTGAAAATTTGGAAACGATTGAAGATGCCATAAGGATATTCAGAAGCAATGCTGAAGTTGATGCATACAATACAAAAGTATTGGCTAATCTTAATACTGAAGGTGCAACTGCCAATGCATATGACTTTTGTATTGGTGATGGACTTGCATCATTAAAAGAAAAAGTGTTGAACAACGTAAAGAATCTCAAAACAACTGAAACTTATGGCTTACCACTTAAAATCGATTTGAAAGTGGGCGCTAAGAATATGATGACAGTGAATATTGACACTGAAGATGGATTAGTAAATGGCGCCTGTGGAAAACTGATAATGATTGATTATGGAAAACTTCAAAAGACAAACGAGACAGTACCATGTCGACTATGGATTAAATTTAGTGAGAAGAAGACTGGAAGAAAAGCTAGAGCTAACTTTCACAATGTAATGCGAAATAGAAATATCGATCTCAGTCTCACACCAATTGAACCAGTAACACGACAAGTAAATACAAGATCAACTAATTTCAAAGTAGAACGGAAACAGTTTCTTCTAGTTCCTTCTGAAGCCATGACTATATATAAAAGTCAAGGTGGCACTTATGAAAAAGTCGTTGTCAATCTAAAGAAAGGAATGACAAGATCTGAATTATACGTCGCTTGTAGTCGTGCAACAAAAGCAAGTGGTTTATATTTAATTGGCGACTTCGTTCCACCGAAACCACCTGAACGTAATGATGCAGTGACGATGATGTTCAAAAGCATGAGATCCGAACGAATGCTGAAATTTTCACTTGAATTTCCTGAAGAAGCTCAAGAAGAAAGATTTTCGATTATGTTTGATAATGTACAATCATTGAATAAACATATTTCAGATATTAAGTGTGACAAAACATTTTTGTCTTCTTCCATGATAAGTCTTGTTGAAACATGGACACAACCAAGTGACAACTTGGAAATTGAAGGTTTCAAGATAGTTCACAGATGTAATTGTGATGATGTACGAAAACCATTTGGTCAAATCATTTATTTAAAAAAATGATTTGAAGTACGACAATATCACCGAAATATATGAATATTCAGGCAAAAACCATATTGAATATTCTTCAATAAAAATTGATGATATTTGTATAATTTCCGTTTACAATTCACCGAATTCATCATTCGATATCTTAAAACGACATATTAATGAAGTTATAACTATTTCAAAAGGATTTTGTGAAAATATAATTGTCGTTGGTGATTTTAATATAAATTTGAAGATCAAAATCAATAACAAATTTATTGAATATATAGAATCCTTCGGACTTAGTTTGAATAATATACTAAATAGAGATTAAACTAATGCAAAAACACAGATTGACTATTGCTTCACTAATGTGAAAGACTTAAAATTTGATTATTTTGAAAGTCTTATAAGTTTTCATAAACCAATATGAATAAGAAAACATAAAGTTTTGACTAAGTTTCATTTTGATGAAACCGAAGATATTCATACAAATATACCTTTTAATATTGAAGATATTATAACTGATGATCAATCTGACACAATGGAAGTCGATGAGAAATTGGTTTTTGCACATCATGAAACAGTCGATAAAAACGAACAAATTGACTTAGAGATGTCTTTCCATTTGGAAGATCTCAAAGTTAATGAGCCATCTGATATGATGGAAATTGAAGAAAAATCTTCTTCCGAAAACTATGAAATCATTGATTCAAACTCAAGGAAGATTCTTGATCAGTTTCTTCTTGCACTAGATTTTAATAATACTACAGAGACTAATCAAATTTCAAGTGAAGCTCAAATAATCGATGATTTAATTGAAAAATCACCATTTATAACTATGAATAATAAAGACCAATCCGTCCTGTTAAAATCGAAAACAGGATATTCTGTTCAAGCGTTCGATTCTGTTTATGCTAGAACTTGCACGACTGCAGATGGCAATTGTTTACATAGTTCTCTTTCGATAATAAATATTGGATCTGAAAAACTAACACATTCGATGAGATTGTTGGCAGTAAATTCAATGATCAATAATAGCGATTATTTCCAAACACTTTGTAAAGTATTGCAGTATTCATTTGAGGAACAGTTGAAAAGAACTGCTATGGATACAATATGGGGTGTAGAAGTTCAAATTCAGACGCTTTCTATGGCTCTATCTCATCCTATCTATTCATATATTCAGTTTAACGGCGATCCAAAACTTAGACATTATATTTCATCGAATATTAGTTTACAGGAACTAGTCGATCGATTTGCTAAAGGAACAGCAGGTGATCATCTAAAATATATAGGATACAAATCCGATATGAATAAACTAGGACTTTGTATTTACTATAATGGTAGTCATTATGATGCTCTTTTACCTTTTCGAGATAATCCTCAACAATTTGTACCGCACTTTGACATAATTAACATGAGTTTCTAAAAAGAAACACGATTCAGCTAAAGCAAAGAAGTTTATGCAAATGAATAAAACCTCCGGAACTAACTCCTCGCCGCGTCCTACGGGACAAAAAGAGGGCATCCGCAGGGCCTAAGGGACAGTTCCTTAGTGCGCTCAAGGATGAATATTTTAGACAGTTTAATAATAAAAATTAACTATCTTGAGTATATGCTCAGCATTTCAACCTTGTCTCGTGAACGGTTTGGCCCTTTGAGCTAAAGAAGGTCTCAATTGGAAAGAAACAGTTTAATCTATAAATTCACTACACTCAAGTAAGTTATGAGATAAAAACGTGATATAAGCCGAAATCTGCGTAAATTCAAGGAAATAGCGTACTCCGAGAGTCGGTATTTTGGACTTTTCTCACGCGGTGCACTAGGCCCTGTATTTATTTTTTTCAATAAGACATAGATCTCATCAAGATACATCCCTTGACACTAAATTGCAAGGAGAAAACACAGGCGTGCTAAGTTAGCATGGACCACACTGTATGCGACCCTATCCAGTGACCACTGACTCTACTCTCACGAGGGAAGGTCACCAACTGTTCAATCGCTTTTGAGTCAGAACTATGTGCATCATGTAGGTCCTAATGAGCTATGAATACCCTGAAAAGAGTTCGGGCGGCTAGCCCATTACTGTCGAGATACTGCATTTTTACGATATTGTTAAGCAGAACGCCGTGGTCCCCCTCAGGAGCACCAAAAAACCTGAGTTTTGAATTTTGACTTGAAGTTTGGCACAGAAACAGATCTCAATGAGAGTGGCTTATTTTGAAAGTTTTAGATCTTTTGGTTGCTCCTATTCTGAAATAAGCACATCGGAACCTGTCGAGGGTATACGAGCAGTGTAAAAACACCCTTTTTAGCTGTATCTTAGGATAGGAACAACCAAAAGGCCTGAAACTTTCACAATAAACTACTCTCACTGAGGTCTGTTTCTATACAAAGTTTCAAGTCAAAACTCGAAACTCAGTTTTTCTGGTTCCTGAGGGGGACTACGGTATTGTGCTTAGTTAAAAATACCATAAAAATGCAGTATCTCGACAATAATAAGCTAGCCGCCCGAACTCTTTTCAGGGTATTCATGGCTCATTAGGACCTACATGATGCACATAGTTCCGACTAAAAAGCGATTGAACAGTTGGTGACCTTCCCTCGTCAGAGTGATATAATATCTTTAGAAATCACAAAAATTGAGTTCAGATTCGTGTTCAGCTTGGAAAACTGGATAAGAAGAGTTATTTTTGAATGGATTTGTGTTTGTATTTAGCGGGATTACGATCGTAAGCAACCTCATGAATTTATAAGAGATATATGATAGATACAGGCATCAGTATTTTCATAACAAATCACCAATATTAATAGCTATCGAGTTCGGATTTTTACCTTTCGATAGTCCTTTTGGCTATCTGCAAAACCAGGCATTTGGGAAACCCCAAAACTACTGGTCATCTGAGACATATGTAGGCAATTTGGTTTCTGGATGCAGTTTCTGTGCATTTTGAGACCGTTTTCAGGCAATGTTTCGTTAGAAAACTACGATTTGGTTCAAAACTAATATCAGATTCGGAATCAGCGTTAAAAACAGAGTCGATTTATATATGTTGTGAATAATTATGAGCAAAATACTTTTTCTGAAAAAATCTCTGCACCCCCCCCCCCCCCCGCGCAATGATGGTCTGGCCAATAATGACAATTTTTTCGATAACTCAGCCATTTCTTGACGGATCCTTCTCATTTTCGAACTCGACCGAGATATTGATGAGACAATTCTGTGCACAAAAATTTCAGCTCGATCGAATGTAATTGTGAAGAGTCATCGTGTAAACGGACGGACACACTGACCGATTCTAGAGTGTACTCACTTTTTGAGTACACAAAAAAGTGAATCATACGAATCAGTCATCCCAGAATGTGTGAACATCAAAATTATACTGGGGAACCTACCATTCAAAATGTTGATTTCTATTGCGTATTGCCAAACCAATAGGACTTGGAACCGAATACAGCTCAGATTTGAACTCTTTCCTTTGATTTACCCTAAGAAAGTCGTTTTTCCTATAACTTGATTTCTATTGGTCACTGCTTAACCAATAGTATTTCGATGGAAGTGGAGTACAGATTCGAGTTCTCCACCCCAGAAAACCTCGAAGCATCATCACTGTGATCGGAAGATAGAGCTCTAAACGCGGATCAATTAGATCGTGGACAAAAACATAACCTAGTTCTCTTTAATTATCTTTGTGATAGGTGAGTCAACCTTCTTGTTTCTTTATGTTTTATATACCATTTTGTAGCACTTGAAATTCTCTATCGAATGGTATATAATAGTTGGGGTTTTAGTTGACTATGATAGGAAAAGTTGTTTACGAAAGCAGGAATCGGTCGATCTTTCCATAGGGAAGGTATAGGAAAAAATGAGTATTTTTGCAATAACTCAGGAAGGGCTCGGCCAATCCTTCTCATCTTCGAACTCGACCGAGATTTTGTTAAGACTGAACTGTGTAGAAAATTTCATCGCGATCTGACTCCTTTCAAAAGTTATCGTGTAAACGGCCGGACGGACACACTGACCGATTCTATAGTGTACTCACTTTTTGAATACACAAAAATAATAAGAGAAGTACAAGTAAATCTTTAATAAACTACAACTTCAAACAATTACACAGGTTTGTTATAATAGTATCGGTTCATGTAAAAGTAGGTTACAAAAATAAACCAAGGAATCTCGTGATGAATTCTGGCTGATTCAGGCATCCTGACATTTCCTTTTTTTGTACAGAACCAGCGTTTACATCAACAAAAAGTATTCAACATATGAAAAAAGATATATATTTATGCTCATTTTGTGAAAAAAACTGTACAAAAAGTCCGAAAAACATTATACCACCTGGTAAAAAATTCCTAACGGATTGGAATTATTATACTTACCGTCATTAGTTACAATTCTATCTTTTCATGTCGTTTTCGAAGTTAAGTATCCGATTATATGAAAATTGAAAGCTCTATTTATAGATAAGAACAGCAAAAGTGATAGAGATTCTCTTAGTTGAGAGTAATAAATCTCTTTTCGTCAAAAATCAGCTTTTCTGTGAAAAGGAAGTTTTTGAAAAAAGTAGTAGCCCAATTGATTTTGAATTGTCCATTATTGCCCAGTACTCAAAATAATTTAGCTGGTAAACGGTCCATAGTTCAAAAATTCCTGACTACGCCACTGCAAGGGTGTGTGGAATGGATGGTGGGTGTTGGCACTTTGATTATCCACACCCACATCCCCACCCTTCGATTCTTCGATGGTACTCACTTCTAGTGAGACATTAATATACTGGCAGATACAAATAGCATCGTCATGATTCGCGCATAGTTTTAGTTATTTTCACTGTCTAGTGAAAGAAACACTACTTGCCTTTATTTAACAACAACATATGAAACGAAAAAAAATGCAGCGTTATCGTTTCTTCTATCATTCTTTTCTGTCATCGTTGTTTTAAAAATATGTTGCTAGTAAATGATGATGCATAGATAAAGAACAATTTAGAATTTAAAAGGTATGAGAAACACATACACTTGTCATTTCTCCACGATTAATAATAATAAAAAGTCGCTATCAAAATGATATCCTATTACTTATTGTGCTTATTTGCGTAAGTATTAAAGACAAAGGTGAATTAAAGAGATAGGTCCAATTTGAAATTCATGCATCCCATTTCTGGCATTTCAATACAAATATAAAAATTGCCTAAAGTACTAAAAATATGCACTTAATATTCTACCTTACTTTTTTTAGGGTAATCGGAATAAATAATGGTAAGTGAATGAGAAATTTTTTAAACTACAAAATAACTCCTCTTTAATTTGTCTTTTTCAGGTCAACCTATCTATAAACAATCGAGCGACTGTAAGTAGACATAAATTTACTACATGTCGATATCACTAAATATTTTATAGTTCCTAATAGCTATATATATATTCATAGTCAATTTTTATTAGATTCACTTTACACTGAGAAAATTTTTAAAAAGTTTTGAAGAACAACTATCAATGAAAGGTTCAAAGATTCATTGAACTATCCCTCGTACTAATTTATAGTTGACATTAGATCCTGCATATAGTTATATATAGTGGCTGCAAAAATAATTCATACGATTTCTTTTTTCATCGAAGATAGTCCAAATAAAGACTTTTTAAGATTCGCTGGATATCAAAAGAATCCCTATATCGTCTAGTATTTACGCTATAGAAATCAGCATTATTGAATGTTTGTCTATTGCACGAATAATTTTTGCGTAAAAAACATGCGTGATTTTCAATGATTGATGTCTCATTTAACATGGACTGATTCAACAACGCTGGTTTTTGTAGTGTAAATACTAGATAACATGATGATTCTTTTGATATCCACCAAATTTTCAAAAGTTCATATTTTGACTATCTTCGGTCAAAAAAGAAATCGTACGAATTAGTTTTGCCGCCACTATAAATCTGTCTCATATCTTAAGAGGAGATATAAACTCACATATTTTGATTGAAATTCTAGGTCCAGGTAATCTTAAATGGAGTACAACTGGAATAACAATCATGGGCAATGGTTATGGTACAAATCCAGATCAATTACAATTTCCTGATGGTTTATTTATCGAACCGAAAACACAAATTCTGTATGTTGCTGATGTTTCTAATAACCGTGTGCAGAAACGTTATCCAAATGGTGAAATTAAAACAGCTGCAGGCCAATCCAATGGTGCCGGAGGGTCAACATCAGACAAACTGGACGGTCCAAGAGATATTTTTGCAGATGAAAATGAAAATGTCTTTGTTGTTGATGAGGGTAACCAGCGAATCCAATTTTGGGCAAAAGATGCCAAAAGTGGAAAAACAGTGGCGGGAAATGGTACTTGTGGTTCAGCATTAAATGAATTTAGTTATCCGTTTAGAGTTGCACTTGATTCAAAGAAAAATATATTCGTTGCCGATTTGCAAAATCAACGTATTACAAAATGGCCATCTACATATGATCCCAAAAAATCTGTTGGAACAATTGTAGCAGTAAGTTATTGATTTTAACTCCACTAAACGAGATTGACAAGAAATGATTGAAATTGTTAAGTAAAGCATCAGGAACAACTATGACAATTTAAATATTTTTATAAATGGTAAATTCTTCAATATTGTTCTAGGGTGGTAATGGTGCAGGTCTCAATCCATATCAATTATATAATCCAACTGGTTTATATTTAGACGAACCAAATCATATCTTATACATATCAAACGAAGAATCCCATTCAGTAACACAATGGGATATGGAACCGTATGGAAATCATAATATATATGCCGGCATTCCTGGGCGACCTGGTAATAGTCCAGCTCAATTAAACAGTCCTCAAGGCCTGATTCTTGATAAGTATGGTAATTTATATATTACTGATTGTAATAATAATCGAATACAAATGTTTTGTCCAAATGCTGTATATGGTATAACGATTGCAGGAACGGGTCAAATCGGTAATGGCAGTAATGAATTACACTTCCCACATGGTGTAACATTTGATTCAGAAATGAATTTATATGTTACAGATACATATAATTATCGCATCCAAAAGTTTGAAAGAATACAATAATAACCAGCTATTGCTCGATATAATCTTTAAAAGAATTTTCATTACTTTTATGTAATGTAATCATTTTAAGAATAAATATCGCATCGAAATCAAGTATACTCATTATTTTTCTCAACATCTGTCCTTACTGTTGATCCTCAATTTTTTCGAAAAGTTGAGAAGTTGTTAAATCAGACCTAACTTTTTATTGAGCGTCGACAAAAACACATTTACAATTCTCCCTCATTCTGAGCACAGATTTTTTTTTTGTATTCATCGCTTGGTTGAAATACAGTGGGTAGTTTTTGTATGATAAGCTCAGAAGAAAATACTTGTGTGAGTTTGAATAACGAACCATTAGAAGATTGAGTGATCTGTTTAGCATTCTGGTATAAATAGACCAACATATTTTCAGATATCATTGTTTGCTGCAATATAAGTACTTTTTTTTATGTACAACTAGTTCTCACATAAAATTTCTACTTGTTGTCTGAATATCTGATATAATCTTTTTTACTTCATTATCCTCTCTATCATACTTCGAC